TTCAGGGATCTAAGGGAGGTTGACTACATGCAAGCAAGTGCACCACTGTACTGTTTCTCTCATTGAGATCAGGATTTCTTTCTTTTTTCTTTCTTTTTTTTAAATAAATACATTAAAACTTTCAGCCTGTATGTGATCTCAAAATAATCAAGATGTCAAACTTTATAGAATAAAGGGTAGATGAAAATAAACAATGCTTGATTTTTTTTTTTTTTTTTTTTGGTTTTTGGGTCACACCCGGTGATGCTCAGGGGTTACTCCTGGCTCATGCACTCAGGAATTACTCCTGGCGGTGCTCGGGGGACCATATGGGATGCTGGGAATCGAACCAGGGTTGGCCATGTTAGCTGTGTGCAAGGCAAACGCCCTACCCGCTGTGCTATCGCTCCAGCCCCAATGCTTGATATTTTTAACATTCTTTCCCACTTGAAATTAGGTAGCTCACTGTAATGATCAGGAAAGAAAAATTTCTTAAATATATAAAATGTATTGCAAATATTTTTCTATCTGGAAAAAATAAAAGCTGCTTTAGACATTCTATACACATGTGTCTAAATAAATAAACCTGTTGTATTTAAAAAAATTCGTCTTGCTTAAAATCTCCATGTCATATATGTAAAAACATGTGGGACAGAAACTCTTCTTGAATATGAAAAAATTATTCAAAAAGAGAAATTTAAGAAATATGATTTGTTTTAAAAAATGTGGTTTATAAGGTTTTGTAATCTGAAATATCTTTTATCCCATTTTTAATGAGTTACTTGAGATTGAAATAGTCATGTTATGCAAATGATATTAACATTCATCATCTTCCTTGTTTAAAAAAAATCTTCAGTACCATTTACTTCAGTTAAATAAATTCCACTGTTATCATCTACATGCTTTTGAAAAGATATTTTCTAAAACCATTGCTATTTAATTTTGGAATATTTTATATTTTGGCTTTCTTATCATGCTTATCATTATTTAGAAAGCAGCTGGTTATCCCTGCAAAAATGTATTTAGATCGTTCTAATGTTAGCATATCTAAGTGAGAGGAAATAACCCAGAGGCAGACACATTGTCACAAGAGATTATGAAATCTTTGTGTAAAAAAAAAATGAAGAAGAAGAAGAAAAATCAGAAGTGCAAAATGGGTCCCAGATAAGGGAGAGTTAATGGCTGTCCTGTTTATTCAATGTAGGCTGGAGAGAAGAAATCAAAGAAAAACCTCTAGAGGCACTGTTGGGTTCTATAAAGCCATTGAAAGTTGTAGATTTACACAAAGGATTCTGCAGGGTGAGTGTTTGAAAGTAGATTTCTCAGCATGTTCTGGCATGATAAGGGTTTTAAGGTAAAAGGATATAATGTGAATATAATTAAACTCCTTTCAGATAATGGTATAACAATACTATGTTCTCTATGGATGGTCAGAAATGCAGCCCTTGTGCATTTTTCCCATTTACTCTTAGTCTCTTAAAATATTTCATCACAAATATTCCTCATATGTACTGTTCCCCAAACCTCACTTTATTTTCCTGACTAGACCAGTGTCATAAATAAAGAATCACAGTTTGAGTAGTGAAGGGTAAGAGAATAATTAAAATGTAAAAAAGTTTAAGCTTAAATGAATGAAGGAGACCTTTTCAAACATATTCTTATATATAAATTTTACTACATATCTTCCAGTTAAATTTTAAAATTAACAGTTATTTCGTAGTCATAATGATCAAACCTCCCAATGAGAAATTTTACTTTGGCTTATATTTATCTTAACCTATTATTATTTATCATGTTTATTAACATTCTTCTCACTTGCTCTACCTGATCTTCTTTTGTTTGTACTAGGGAAAATTAGCCAACTGCCCATTTTATATTTCAAATAATATAATCAATGACACTTTTCTTTATAAATTCCTTAGATATAGAAAACTAATTTGTGCATATTGTTATCTTTCAAACTGAGCATAAATAATAGGATAATAAAATTAAATATTGAGAAAATTTATTACTATCTGAAATAAGGCTTTGTGTTGAATTAAAAAGTTATGAATCCTTTCACTAATTATAATAAGTGATTAAAATACAGCAAAAATAGCATCTCAAAGAGAGAAACATAGGGATATAGTGCTTCCAGCAGGTCAGTACTGTACCTGTACCTGGAGCAAGTGCATCAGCAGCCTGATGGTGCTTTCGGCTTCTTGATACCCCAAAATTGCTGTTGTGCCTTTTGCCAGACCCCCAACAACTTGGGACCAAGTTTACCAAAAAATTAAACAACCAAAATTTAGGTATGTAGGAGACACACCCACAAAATACTTCTGGCTTATCTATACAAGCTCATTTATTGGCCTTATCTCAGAGACCAATAGATACATCTTGAAAGGGATCAAAAGTCGCAGTTAATTTAGGACCCGCACACAGCCGAACAGATCAGATAAATTGGAGGGGGTGGATTGGTCTGGTGCCCACCCACCAGACTCTGTATTGCACCTGTATTGCAAACCATAATGCACAAAAGAAAAAGGAGAGAGAGAGAGCAAGAAGGAAAGGGTCTCCCATAGAGGAAGGCTGGGGGTGAGGGAAAAGGGGTTGGGGGATGGTGGTAGGGAAACAGGACATTGATGGTGGGAAATGTACTGGTGGAGAGATGGGGGCTGGATCACTGTATGGCTGAAACCCAGTTATGAACAGCTTTGTAATGGTCTATCACACAGATATGCAATTAAAAGCTTTTTTAAAAAGTAATGTGGAGGGGCTGGAGCGATAGCACAGCAGGTAGGGCATTTGCCTTGCACACGGCCAACCTGGGTTCGATCCCTGGCATCCCATATGGTCCCCATATGGTCCCCCAAGCACTGCCAGGAGGAATTCCTGAGTGCAGAGCCAGGAATAAATAGCAGTACTCCTAGATTTTTTTTAAAAAGGGAGAAAAAAAATTTGATTTATATTATAAAATGGTAAATAATATTGCATTCATGTATGAAATTTATATGTCTAGATAAAATATTGAATGTACTTCAGAAATTATTGTGTTACATATACTTTCATTCCTTTATGCACATATAATTCTAAATTCTTATGAATATTTTATCATATCATATATTATAATAAGAGTTCACTATATATTTAATAAATACATGAGCAAGTAAAAGATGCAATTAACTTAAAATGAGAGTAATTTGTAGATAAAGAGGGAAAAATGACTAATATAGGACTCATAACTTGAGAAGAATATGCAAATGCTAATGAATAAAATACTTACAATATCATCACTTAACTACTAGTCTTGTGCTTCCTTAGTTATGAAAAAGAAGTATATTAGAAAAGAAGCCTCCTACAAATCTCGGAACCCAAAGGCTTTTGGCAGAAATGCATCCTGTTCCTGCAGCAGGTTATTGGCGCTGGGCCACTACAGGTGGGAATAGGTTTTGTGCCTTGGCCTGATCCCCTTGGTGTCCCAGTGACCACCATGCTCCAGAGGCCACTGGACAGTCAGGTTTGGGTCTACAGTGAGGAGACATGCAGATGGGGGTGGAACCGGCCCTTTCCTCCCCATCCCAGAAAGACCCTGAATCGCTGCCTACAAATGGTGTCTATGGTTCCTGATCAAGATAATTAATGGCCATGATCCCAGAGACTCGGAAACAAATCTCGAAACCCAGCGGCTTTTGGCAAAAATGCATCTGGACCGCATACAAGGTGGCTGCTGCCTCAGAGCTTCTTGGAAAGCCAGGTATGAGCTGGCAGTGACGGGGCAACTGCAGTCTCATGGGAAGGGGGGCAGTACTGGCTCTTCTTTCACGCCCTATCAATGTCATGAGTTGCTCCCAACAAGCGGCTCTCTAGCACAGCCATGGCTTCAGATGGAAAAGAACTTAGTCCAGAGCCTGGAAGCTTGGGGCAGAAAAGTGAATGGACCATGCATTAAACTATGGCGACATGCCTCCCCGGGGGGAGGGGGGAGGGTGTTGCTCCTTTCCACCTTTTTCCCGCCCAGCAGCAAGGTGGCCGCTGCCTCAGAGCTTATTGGAAAGCCAGGTATGAGCTGGCAGTGACAGGGCAACTGCAGTCTCATGGGAAGGGGGGCAGTACCGGCTCATCCTTCACGCCCTACCAAGGTCACGAGTTGCCCCCAGAGCGGCTCTCCGGCACGGCCATGGATCCAGAGGCAAAAGGACTTAGTCCAGAGCCCGGCAGATTGTGGCAGAAAACTGAATGGACCATGCGTTAAACTACAGTACCATGCCTCCCTGGGAGGGAAAGGATGTTGCTCTCTTCTGCCTTTTCTCCCCCCTGCAGAAAGGTGGCCACCACTTCTGAGCCTATTGGAAAGCCAGGTATGATCCAGCAGTGACAGAGCAACTGCAGTCTCAGTGGAAGGGAGGCAGTATTGACTCATCCTTCACGCCCTACTGAGGTCACGAGTTGACCCCCATGAGCGACTCTTTGGCACAGTCATAACACCAGATGCACAGAAACCAATCTCATTATTATCTGACTCTTTGCTGAAATCCAAAATCGCGAGGCCACTATTGTGGCCATGCAAAATTATATAATTCTCATAACCAGCTATAGAAAACAAAGTATTTCACAATGCCTTTTCAGCAATTCTGATTGTTGGGGGGGGGGGAATTATAAACAATAATCGTGCATCTTTTGTTGAAATAATGAATGTAATCAATGTAGAGAATAGTTAAGTGGAAATCATCTGCCTCACAGGCATTGGGAGGGGTGGGAGGGTTCTTGAGGTTCTTGATAGTGAAAAATGAGTACTGGTGAAGGGAGAGGTGTTTGATCATTGTGTGACCGAGACTTAAACCTGAAAGCCTAGTAACTTTTTCCACAGTGATTCAATAAATAAATATAAGAAGGAAATAAAAAAAATCACGATCACACAATCACGATCATCCTATTGTTCGTGGATTGCCTCGAGCAGGCACCAGTAACGTCTCCTTTGCCTTAGCCCTAAGATTTAAAAAATTGCCATATTCAAGAGTCTTTCAGGGTTAGGAGAATGAGAACCATCATTGTTACATATACTAAAATTAGAACGATACAGAGAAGACTAGCATGGCCCCTGTGCAAGGATGACATGCAAATAAAAAAAAATAAAAAAAATAAAATCTACAAAATTTTAAAAAAAAAGAAAAGAAGCCGCCTAAAGAATAAGAATGTTTGGCTTTGTTTTAACCATTTGAACATAATTAAATCATATACCATGGCTGAGAGTTTTCTCATTATAAAATTAAACATTGATGCATATAATCACTGACGTTTTCTTTGAGATAAACTTTCCATAATCTCAGTGTAAACCAAAAACTAATATATTTTTCTATACATATATATAATCTCAAAGAGAGCAGCAGAATTCTCTGGTACTTGTCATGACATATTTACTGTTCCTAAGTGCACTAAGCAGGAATTCTGGAGCACACTTTCAGAGTGTGAAGTACAGTTGGCTCTGAAAGGGCACATAATTAGATACATAGTCTATCACTGATGTCTAGCCTTCTTTATAGATGAAACATGTAGTTTCATGTTTGTGTAATGTTTTTTACACAAATAAGAATGCAAGATTGAATCAAAGATTTATAGTCAAGTGCCTCCCTTATGATCTAAAACAGTTTGCTTGTTTTATAACTTTTTAAAATGTTTAAGATTCCCAAAAAACAAAAGCCCAGGTCCAGATGGATTCACTAGCGAAATTTTCCAAATATTTAAAGAGGACCTATTGCCAGTTCTTCTCAAGCTTTTCCAAAAAATTGAAAAAGCAAAAACTCTCCCAAACAGTTTGTAAGAGGCCCTTATCTCTCTAATACCAAAAGACAACAGAGACACCACAAGAAAACTACAGGCCGATATCCCTGATGAACACGGATGCAAAGATTCTCAACAAAATACTAGCAAGTAGAATTCAACAACTTATCAAAAAGATCATACAGCATGACCAAGTGGGATTCATCCCGGGGATGCAATGATGGTTTAACGTTTGGAAATCAATCAACATAATCCATCATATCAACAAAAGAAAAGATTAAAAATCATATGATCATATCGATAGATGCAGAGAAAGCATTTGACAAGATTCAACACTCGTTTATGATGAAAACCCTCGCCCAAATGGGGATAGAGGGGACTTTCCTCAGTATAGTTAAAACCATCTACCACAAGCCTACAGCACGCATCATCCTAAATGGGGAAAAACTGAGAGCCTTCCCCCTAAGATCAGGGACAAGACAAGGATGTCCACTCTCTCCAGCGCCGTTCAATATAGTACTGGAAGTACTTGCTATAGCGATTAGGCAATAAAAAGAGATTAAGGGCATCCAAATAGGAAAGGAAGAAATCAAACTCTCACTACTCGCAGATGATATGATACTATACTTAGAGAACCCTAAAACCTCTACCAAGAAACTCCTAGAAACAATAGATATGTATAGTAAAGTTGCAGGCTATAAAATCAATACCCAAAAGTCCTTGGCTTTCCTATACGCAAACAGTGAGAGAGAAGAAAGTGACATAAATAAAACAATCCCGTTCAAAATTATGCCTCAGAAAACCAACTACCTAGGAATTAGCTTAACTAAAGACATAAAGGAACTTTACAAAGAAAACTAAAAAAACGCTACTTCGGGAAATAAAAGAGGACACGAGGAAATGGAAAAATATCCCCTGTTCATGGATCAGGAGAAATAACATTGTCAAAATGGCAATACTTCCCAAAGCACTGTACAAATTCAATGCAATCCCTATTATGATACCCATAACATTCTTCAAAGAAATGGAGCAAACACTCCTGAAATTTATATGGAACAATAAGCCCCCACAAATAGCTAAAAAATTCTTGGGAAAAAGAAAATGGGAGAAATCAACCTCCTAACTTCAAACTCTACTACAAAGCAGTAGTAATTAAAACAGCATGGTATTGGAACAAAGGCAGAGCTGCAGACCAATGGAACAGGGTTGAATATACTGACATCTTCCCCCAAGCATATGATCATCTAATATTTTATAAGGGGGCAAGAAAAGTGAAGTGGAGCAAGGAGAGCCTCTTGAACAAATTGTTCTGGCAAAACTGGATGGCTACATGCAAAAAAGTTGGCTCAGATCTCTGCCTAACACCATGTACAAAAGTAAGATCAAAGTGGATCAAAGACCTCAACATCAGACCAGAATTCATAAGGCACATTGAAGACAAAGTTGGCAAAACCCTCTATGTCGTAGAAGCTAATGGTATCTTCAAAGATGTCACACCACTGGCCAAGGAAGTGAAAACAGAGATAGACAAATGTGACTATCTTACACTAAGATGCTTCTGCACCTCGAAAGAAACAGTGACCAAAATATAAAGACAGTCTACAGAATGGGAAAGGATATTTGCCCAATACACATCTGACAAGGGGTTGATATCAAGGATATACAAAGTACTGGCTGAACTCCAAAAGCAGAAAACATCCAAACCCATCAAAAATGGGGCGACAAAATGAACAGAAAATTTCTCAAAGAAGAAATCTGAATGGCTAAGAGACACATGAGAAAATGCTGCACATCATCAATCATCAGGGTGATGCAGAGCAGATCAAAAACAACAATGAGATAACATTTCACACCACAGAGACTGGCCCACATACAAAAGAACAAAAGCAACCTGTGTTGGCGTGGATGTGGTGAGAAAGAGACCCTCCTTCACTGCTGGTGGGAATGCTGACTGGTTCAGCCCTTTTGGAAAACAGTATGGATGGTTCTCAAAAAATTAGAAATTGAGCTCCCATTTGACCCAGCAATACCACTCCTGGGAATATATCCCGGTGAGGCAAAAAAGTATAGTCGAATTGACATATGCACTTGTTTCTTCATTGCAGCACTGTTTACATAGCTAGAATCTGGATAAAACCTGAATGCCCAAGAACAGATGACTGGTTAAAGAAACTTTGGTACATCTACAGAATGGAGTACTATGCAACTGTTAGAAAAGATGAAGTCATGAAATTTACATACAAGTGGTATTACATGGAAAGTATCATGCTAAGTGAAATGAGTCAGAAAGAGAGGGACAGACAGAAAGATTGCTTTCATCTGAGAAACATAAAGTAACAAAATAGGAGACTAACTCTGAAGAATATCCGAGATAAATACCAGGAGATTTACTCCATGGTTTGGAAGCCAGCCTTTACTCTAGGGGTAAAGGCAGCTCAGATAGAGAAGGGAGCACCAAATAAAGGGTGTTGGGAAGATCTGCCCAGGATGGGAGATGCATGCTGAAAGTAGACTATAGACTGAACATGATTGCCACTCAGTTCCTATTTTGCAAACCACAGCACCCAAAAGGAGAGAGAACAAAAGGGGGTGCCCTGCCACAGAGGCAGGGTGGGATGGGGGTTGGGGGGTGGGAGGAATACTGGGATTAATGGTAGTGGAGAAGGGCACTGGTGGAGGGATGGGTACTCGATCATTGTATAACTGAAACCCAAGCACAAAAATTTGTAAGTCTACAACTGTACCTCATGATGTTTCATAATAAAAATTAAAAAACAAACTTTTTCTCTTAAACTGGAGAGATAGTACAGCAGATATGGTGCTTGCCTTGCATGCAGTCTACCTGTGTTCCACCTTTAGCATCTATCTTGCATCACTTCCAGAACTAATTCCTGAGTGCAGACCCAAGAGTAACCCTTCAGCACCACTGGATGTAGTCAAAACAAAAAATAAATTAAAAATATTTTTTCTAAAAAAATAAAAATAAAATGTTTAAGAATTTTGAAAATTAGAAAGACAATAATTAATGAGATTTTTTAATAAATGTCTTAAAAACTAAAAGCTGATAGGTGATTGAACTGGAGTAGGATAACACAATATGAAAATCAAAGTAGAAAGAAATTTTCTGTATATTGGGAGCAACTTTATGAAACTTTCTCTACGAAGCTAATAGTGTAAGGAGATTCCTTCAGAAACAAAACTTAGAATAGTCATGGAGATATTTATTCACTTACATTTGTAAACATATGCCTGCGCTGAACACCAACCAGTGTTTTCATGTTGAGATTTTGAATGGAAAGATTTGAAATAGAGATGAAAAGGGATTGTGCTTCTATCCTCATGATGTTGACCCAATGGAGAAATGAAATTCTCCAATATAGAGCCCTCAAAGTAGTAATGAAATTCTCTCATACAACCTCCAATTTTCCCAAAATACTAGAAGATATATGCTGAGCACAAACATAATATTAACATTTGAAGAAAGCCAAAAACCAACACACAGGGGAGAGGCACAAAATTAGAAGAATTAGAATATTAGGATGTAAGTTTTCAGTTGCTATAAAGCAAAATTGTGTTGTGAGAAATATAATACATTATCCAAATAGATAAAAGAAAACAATGCCTTCATGAATAAACATGAAGGAAACATAGAAGTAAATTCAAACATAAGAAAAGTGTCAACTAATGCTAATGGTATCCAATTTTCTGTTTAAAAACACATTCTGAAGAAGTCAAAATTTTGTTATATTCCAAATAACCCACATGAAGAAAAGTGATGACATAAACCTTTGAAAATGAAGCACTAAAAAGATATTGCAAAAAAATTCTACTAAAAAGTACTTAGTGTAATATAAAATTTTGCAGAATAAACTTATTTACAAATATATAAAGATAGGCATTGTAAATTTAATTAAGAGTAGAAAGATGGTGGAATTCAAAGAATAATTGGGCATTTTTATGATAACAAGCCGTGAGCTAAACATTTAATACAAGGAGAAAGATGATTAAAACAAAATATATCACTAAAATATCACAATTGTTATCTGTGATATTTTTCTTATAGTCAATAGTTAGAAAATGCACTTTATCTTTTAAAAATTTGGAACATTCTAAGTGTTGGCTAGCAAATTTGACCTAAGGGAAGAATCAATAAAGCAGAAAATGTCCATAATTTTACAAGCTATACTCTCTGAATAATGCAATATATTTAAGAAAATTAACAACAGAAGCAGGGTCTTAGGGCTTCTTAATGTTAAAACTTTAAGCGGGAAGATAATGGACTAATATTTTAAAATTTTAGAGGGCAAGGGAAAACTTCACACCTCAGTATTTATATTCCCATTTAAATGTGAAGGTAAAGTAAAT